CCTCTTCAGAGCGCCCTGGGCTACTTCTTCTGTCATCTTGCGAATTTGGTTTTTGCTGAAGCGCTTGCAGATGCTGTCAACAACTTCGTTGAAGGCGACCGTATACTCGGCCGAGTTTAGATCTGGCTGCTCTTCTGGTCGCAATCGCTCGACCTCATGCAAGGTCGGCTCTTGCACGCTGGCTTTAAGCAGCTCGACGAAAGCTTCCGAGCGACCAGGCTGCCGCGGTTCGGGAACGATGTCTGGGTCCTGCACCATTGGCGGCGATTTAACTTTGCGTGCGCGTTTTGTTGCTTTAGGTGGAGTAGGCAAGTCCGGCGACAACGCAGACTGTTCACCGGATGCAGCGATGGTCGACGCGGGTGGCGCTGTGTTCATCTGGCTGGCGGTGGTTGATGTAGCTATTGCAGAGCGGACGGCGAGCGTGTGCGTGGTGATTGCGCGCCCGGCGTGCGCGCACATGAAGCACACATGTTGTAGCCCGCGTCGCGAGAACATCCTTGGACAACGCGCGAGAGAAAAATTGTGACACAAGCGTAATCGACGCGCCAACTCCGCCTGCGCTTCTTTGCCGTCTTATCCAGCCAGAACCATTTATATTTTAGCTTCGGCATGCCTCATATTCCTGATTAGTAGCTACATACAAGCCTGCTAAGCCTGTAGTGCTTTTACTTCTATGATTTCGCGTTTCGCGTACGCGGCAGACAGCTCTCGCTAACTGTACTCTCCGGGAGCCTGAAATCTTTTGAACAAATATTCAAGTCTGACTTCTAAACGACGGTCATCTGCGGCATCTAGACCCGCTGGTCACCTGCTGACATTCATTGACTGGTCGGACTTGTCGGTGGCAGTCGCCTACCGAGTGTTGAACCTGTGCAACCCCTCGGTGGTCACATCACGCCAACACGTAGGTAAAATTTTGTCCACGGTCATACTACTCAGCAGTCAGCGCGGTGCGGTCGGCTTAGACGTGCCTGATGTATGAAACCACTGCGTGTATTACCTAGCGTTGCGATGGTGTCACAGGCTCCGGTTGCTGCGGGACTCATTAGCGCCAGGTCAGCGTGGCACCAACCGTGTGAGCCCGTCCAGCGACTGCACGAAGGCTCAAGAAATGCTTGATAAATGTATATACATTGCGTTCCCGTGCCGAAGATAATGCGGTCGTGAAGGATTGGGTCAATAACAAGTCCCGCGAGGAAACGTCCGAGAAATTGGGCGCCCGCTGCGATCACAACTCTTTCCCTCCTCTTCCCCACACGACTCGTGCTTACCGCGCGACCATGAGCGCTGCAACAGCAACACGACCCGCAACGACGTCACGCCGCACTAGCCTTAGCGGCACTCCGCCTCTCGCTGCTGCGCGCGCAACCCCTTCCCCCACTTTGGCGCGAGCGACCAGCACGACACGACCGCGACTGGCCTCGCTGTCAACTTCGGTGTCCGCACGTAAGGCTGCTCCGCCAATCAAGTCACCCATTAAGGAAACAAATGGCTTTCATGTCGACGAACTGCCACCCAACATGGGCAACGAGACTCTCATGCTCTCGCTCAGGCGGGAAACCGAGGAGAAAGAGGAGGTTTGCGCCCCCGAGTCTCTGATGCACAAATTTCCCTTCTAATCACTGTCACAGCTCCTTGTCAAGCTCCAAAACAAGGAACAACAAATCACAACAATGCAGGAGGAAAGCGACAATCTTTCTGGCGCCCTCAATGCAGCAGAGTCGCGGCTCTCCGAAGTCTACGGCGATCAGGAGCGCATGGAGTCCGAAATGGAAGGCCAGATAAAGCTCATTGAAAAGCTGCGTGCTCAAGTGCGCGAAACTGAGAAGGAGAAACGCGAGGTACAACGCAGGTACAACGAGCAGGTCAGCCAGCCCTATACTTCACACGTGCACACTAATCTAAACCCAACCCGCTCTGAACAGACTACCTCATTCGATGCCGAGCGCCAATCCTTCTATGACAACGAGAACCATCTCAAGTCGCGCATTCAGAGCCTCAGCCAGGCTCGCAAGAAGGCCATGCAGGAGCCACCATCGCCCTCCATTCGCGCAGTGTCCATTGCGCCCGAGACAGACATTGAGGAGGAAGAGGAGACCCCTGAAGCCCCCGTCCAGGAAGCAACTTCCGAGCGAGATGATAATGATGAGCCACCGGAGATGATGGCTCTTCGCCTTGAGCTTGATACGCTCACGGTGTCGCACACCTCACTTCAGGCAACCACCCAACTACTTCAAGCGCAGCTCCACGACTTACAACGCGTCAACAACTCGCTTCAGGAGGAGAACGAGTCCTACAATATCCTACTGCGCGAGCGCACTTTGACTGGACAGTTCGACGCCACACGCTTCGCCGGCACATCGAGCGCCAGTGGTGCACCAAGCACTGCCGACGACGATGATGACCGCTCCATCCGCAGCGGAACTCGCTCGTTGCTGGACCGCGTGCCAGAGGTTGACGAGACCCTCGCTGATACCATGTCACCTGCGAACGTCAAACAGGACGACGAGGGCCATGGTGCGGTCTCTCCCCGCAGCAGCCGTCCGCGTCCTGGTCGCCGCGGCACAGGATCACCTCCACCACGCGGCGAAAACCTCGGCGACCTGCCTATCACCGGGCCCGGGCTGGACCTTGCCTCTGAGCTCGGCCGTGCCGAAAACAAGGACATCCTGGACGGCCGCCCGCCTGCCGACGAGAAGTTCAGCCGCAAAGGCAAATCCGACGAGCCCAATGCCGACGTTGCTGCTCTGCGGAGCGAGGTCAAGGCGCTCAAGGACGCCAACAAGGCGTTGTCTCTATACGCGTCCAAGATTCTTGACCGCATCATCTCGGAAGAGGGCTTCGAGCACATCCTGGCCGTCGACTACACTGGTGAGCCGAGCAAAGATACACCAGCCTCTGCCCGCAAAAACAGCACGGCAGCGACCCCATCCGCAACCCCTCAAAAGCAACCCGCCAAGGCTCGTCCGACTAGCCAAGGTTTCTTTTCGCGCGCTCCTCCGGTCGAGCTGGATAGAATCGCGACAAGCAATGCTGTAGCGCCTCCCGTCGCCGGCCCAACAACGGCTCCGGCAGACACCAAGCGGAATCGCCGCTCTCTCTCGTTTGACTTCAAGGGCTTCTTCGGTGGCGACAAAAAGGCTCCGGGTCCGCCGTCGGACGCGTCCAGTGCTAATCTGCGCCAGTTGACGCTCCGTCCCGGTGCGAACAGCACGGTCATTGGCTCAGCCCGGAAGCTCGAGACTCACGAGGACGACGATGATCGCCGCGAGCGTGAGCGGCTGAACGCTACCATGAAACTCATGGGCATCGACCCGCCACCCATGTCGCCTCTGACTCCTCGCCCGCCGACATCCAGCATGAGCATGATGAGCTCGATGAGCACCAGCACCAGTGGCGCTAGCGCTTTCCCGGAGCCTCGTAGCCCTGGTCCAGCAACCGCGACACCCAGCCGTTTCTCGTTCTTCCGCAGCCGGTCGAACACGACGAATAACTCCTCGAACAACTCCTCCGAGAACGTGCGGATTAACCAGCAGCCTCTCACGAGCGAGGCTCTTGAGCGCGTTGAGGCGGAGCAGACGATTGCGCAGCTGGACCTCCGCGAGAAGGAGATGAGCGTCGAGCTGGGTAAGGGCAAAGGCAGTGGGTTCACCGAGGTTCCGCCTCGAGGCTCGCTGGGCGACGAGTGGCGCTCAAGGCGCTCACGGAAGAGCGGTAAAGACAGCAACTCCGGCAGCACCGTCTTCAGCGCTGGCAAAACCGATGCTGACAGCATTCGCATGCCCGACGACGATCTGTAGGCATCTAGCCTTGCCAGGACGACGCAGACGTTTAGAAGTACTCCTACGCCCGCCATGGGCGATTCCCCTGACACGACGTAATGCGCCTACATGAGGATCTTGGTTCGTTTTCTGCCGCTGCTGTAGTTTCGCTCTGGTTGCCCCTGTTGTTCACCTTACACTCACGTTTTTGCTTTTACGCCCCATCACTTTTACACGATGTGCCACGAACCCGATATGCATGCGCTGCGATCCGCGCATATTATGATAAGTCTAATATATAAGGATGTCACACAGAGAATGATCACTGCTGTCCCGAGCTGGCAGAGGCGTCATGCTTCACCAATGTGTTGGCAACATGCGTTCGAATAGACGCAAAGGGATTTTGCTTGAATGCTGTATTGGAGAGAATAAGAGGGTGTCGCGCGCCCTCAGCAGCACTGATCAAATGTAAGCCATGTTTCTGCAATGCCAGGTCAAGGACGCGACCTACAGGGCGCGTTTCCGTTGCGAGTTGCTGAGCGGCTGACCCTTGCCCTCACCAATAAGCTTGCTTGCAGTTGCTGAGATCTTGTTTTTGGAGGATGCGGAAGCATTGTTCATCTCCATCTCCATAGCGTCCTTGTCGGCTACCTTCTCTGTCTGGGCAATGGTTAGCAGCTCCGGGAATTGCAGTTCCTGCACGACGGCCGCGATATCGTTCATGTCTGCGCTGAGGGCTTCCTTCCCCTTTTTCTTTAGCCTGCGTGCGTGCGACTTGGAGTATGGTTGGGAAGTGGATTGTACACCTGCGTGTCGCGTAAGTTATGTCTAGCCAGGAGACCAGCAGAATCATGACTTGCGCTGGAGCCATGCTTCGTGTTTCTCTTGTTTCTTCTCCTTCTTCGTCTTTTGAGGCTCAGTTTCTTGAGCTGTGAGACTTTGGAGAATGGCGTCTCCCTGTCATGCTCATAAGTATGAATCAACTTGCAGGCGAAAAGACTCTGCACACCGATGCGTCTGCCTGCGCGCCGATCTCGAGTTGTTCTGGTACACCAAACGATATGAGGTTGCGAGAAGATAGCGAAGCAGACTGCGTGTGAGGTCGTATCTTCTTTGTGCGTTCTTTGGGCATGACGCGAAGGGTACGACTTGCACACAGCGATTGCAGCGAAAGAAAAAGATGGCAAGATTCGCGCGGCTGTGGCCAGCTCTTCAAATCAGGAAGACAAAAGATTTTGACAGCTGCAGGACTCGAACCTGCGCCCTTTCGGACCGCGGCCTTAACACGGCGCCTTAACCACTCGGCCAAACTGCCTTTTTGAAATAGGAGTTCTGTTTTCATATACATCCTATCAGAGGAATCGCAAGAGCTTCGGACGATCCCGAAGTCCACGTCATTTACGTTTACCACAGTTCCGTTAAACAGTCCTACTCGCATGTAGGTAAGACTACAAGATGCCTTCTCGATACAGCGCCGATCTGATTGCCGTGGAGCCGTCGGCGCCTCACCACGCATGCGCTTGCAACGTGCTTCATGCGAACTGTCCCCGCGCTATGCCTCTCCCTCCTCATCGCGACATCCCGCTACCGACACCCTGTGGCTGCCTAGGACGTGTCGTTAGAGTGTCTTCCGGTGTAAATGCGCAGCGGCAACACATTTGACTGAGGCTGCCCATCCGACACGAGGCTACCCCACGTGTGGCCTTGTGAAGTGTATACCGCCGTGCCAGGGTAAGAAACACGTTTGCCTGCCTGCAATATTGAACGAGGCTTTGGTTTCTTTCGCCTTACAACCTCCCCGTTCGCTGGTCGCTTGCTGCTTGCGTCTTGCTCTTGCGTCGTTCAGTCTCTCGTCCGTGCTTCATTCTAACACCAGTTCGGTGAGTATTACAGTGCTTACTACAGCGCAGTGGTGGCTGAGTAGCTACCATACAGCTTGCCTAGGGCCACAATTTCATATCGCTCTTCTCAGAACGCGGCCATCACTATGAGCCGTTATGTCTCAGAGTCAATCTCCCGTCGAATGGGATTCTCGAGCAGTCGTCAAGACAGTCCTTCACGACTAGGTGCGGCATGTCCACCAAGTTTGCTAGGACAAGATGTCCATATCACGCCTGAAGGCGAACATGACACCAAGACACCTGAAATCCGTCCTTATCTTGGCGGTTTCCTCAATACTCACCACTATCAATATCGTGGCTCAAATGAGAGCATCAATCTTGGTTCCTCGTCGAGAGCAAGACAGTCGTCGGAGAACCTCCCTTCATCAGGAGCGGCACGAGTGCGCGCACATGTTGAGATCCTCGACGGACGCGACAAGGACTTCCAGCGATCCTCACCATCGGCATTCGAGCATAGATCCAGTCCCAGTCGCATGAGGAAGAAAAGCTCGACGACGCTGGCGAAAGAGGCACGTGAGCATGCTGCTGCTGTTGCCTCCGCCGCCGTCGCTGCGCCTCCTCAGCCAGACTCGATCCCCCCTGTGCCCCCTGTGCCCGTTAGCCCTAACAGGCACGTTCATATATCTTCTTATGAAGACATGGCCCAAGCGGCCAGCCCTCTTCGCCAGAAGCCGCCACCGGTCTTACAGGACATCTCAAGCAGCCACTCGCGCAGTCCTTCGCTGCAACATAGGTCACCGCTGCTACCGCCGCCGCCACCACAAGCGATCGGAACCCCATTGTCTCGATCTCATACGGTGCCCCGACCGCGCGCTCACTCGCCTAGCGCTGATACGTTGAGCGATGGTGATGATGGTAGCTCAAAGCTCAAAGCTGCAGGTCGTGCACCAAGCGTAACAATTAATGCTGGACTGCGTACTCCTCGCGCAGGCTTCGTCGGCATGTTCACGAGCTTCTCCGTTATGGGACCTAACGACTCCCCGTCACCACCCCTCCCACCGTTAAGACCTGACATCGGTGTTTCGCAGGAGTCAAAACCTGACCCAGATCCGGTCTCTCCAAAGAGACCGAGCGCTGTCCATATCGCCTTGCAGACCGCTGCCATGCCAGGTAGCGACTTGCCGGCCAATACGAGTGACGTTCGGGTTGGACCAGCTCAACTGGCGGCGAACGGCCACGGCAAGCCCAATGCAACTGCAGCACACCGTCCCAGCACGGCCACGACAGGCAAGCGTCGGTCCCGTGCCGAAGCTTTACGCGATGAAACGGAGCCTGCTAGACATTCAGCGCCCACGACGACGCCGGCGCAGGGTGAGCGGTTGCAAAGCCAGGAAGCGCCCGGAGAGTTCGGCAGTAATCCAACCAAAGGCGGGGCATCAACCGCTCCGTTCTCTGTTGACGATACCTCATCCGGACCTATAGGCGGCAGGCTTGCAGCGAACGAAGCAGGCCTTGCGCCAGCCCCTCCTCTCTCGCCTACGCGAGAAAACCGACCTGCATTTAAGGTTGCAGTCGAGTCTGACTCTGACACCGAGCGAGAGTCGCACGTAGCGTCATCAGTCCCCATGACCCAACCCAAGCCGCCACTGCAGCCATTCCAGCAACCATCCGTAAAGCGAGCACCGGAGCCCGTGCCATCCGCCTCAACGTCACGCGCTGCCCATGCCGGATTGTTCAACGCCAATGCCGCATCCGCTGTAGTTGAGCCACAACTGCGACGCTCAGCGTCCCGAAACGGGGCAGGAATAGGCAGCGCGGCGACCAATGGCGTTCCACAGAGAGGCAGCCGAACCAGTCTAAAGGAAAAGCTTGCAGAGGAGCTGCGTTCTCCGATAAGTCCTTCTGGCATCGGAATGAATGGAAGCTTCAATCACCGTCATAGCAGTGGGACACCACCGCGCCCACCCACACCTCCGCAGAAGCCAACGCCGCCCCCGACTTCAGCTCATCTCAGAGACCTACAGGCCAAGCGAGAGAGCCTACACGCTCAGTACGCTCAGGTTGCGCTCGATCTCGAGCGTGTGAATGCGTCAATCTCCGCTGAAGAAGAGCGACTGAAATTCGAAGCTGAGCGTGTGAAAGTGGAAGCGGAACGCTTGCGGGCTGCAGAGAGGGAGCGGTTGGTTCGAGAACAGCAAGAACAGCAGAGACAGCAGCAGCAGCAACAGCAACAGCAACAGCAACAGCAACAACAGCAACAACAGCAACAGCGACGTTCCGCGGAGCTGCACTCAGAGCAGCCGCGTCGATCGCCAACCACCCCAGGGGGCAACGCTTCTGCTGACCGTCTCTCGGCTACGGCATCGCGAGCCAAGACACCCGCACCTGAGCGAACTAATGGGTCTATCTCTGAAGGCTCCAGCCGTGGGTACGCGTCCGAGCAGGAGAGTTGGGAGACAAACCGCGCCGAGTGGCAGAGCTGGGAGGCAAACCGCGCCGAGTGGGAGTCGGTGCAGAAGAAGAAAGAGGCGGAGCGGATGCGGGCAGAAACGTTGCGGCAGTGGGCTCAACAGGCGAAGGAGAAAGAAGAGAGGGAGAGGGAACGGATGAGGCGAGAAGAAGAGGCCCGTCGACAGGCGCATGCAGCAGAGGATGCTCGCCGGCAGGCGCACGCCGCTGAAGAGGCTCGCCGACAGACTCAAGCTGCCGAGGATGCCAAGAAGAGGACAACGACCGAACAACGACGACGAACTGACGATGTGGCAAAGAGTCAGCGCTTGAACAAACTTGTGACCCAAGCCTGGTCCGAGTACGAAGCGTTTTGGGCGAATCTCCAGAGTGGTAGCGATGCCAAATTGCGTGTCGCCACAATCCGGTGGCCCGTTATATTTCTGGATCCCAAGCAGATGACATCCCCGGAGGCAATCCTCAAAATTCTCACCAGTCAGCAAATTGGCACCTTTTTGCTCTCGCCCTTCCATTCACCGGAGAAGTCACATAAAGAGAGGTTGAGAGATGCGTTGCTTCGATGGCACCCGGATCGCTTTTCTGGTATGTTCCTCAAACATGGTGTTCAGGCGACCTTTAACGTATATTGCAGGTCGATTCCTTAACCTTGTTGCAGAATCAGAGCGCCCTGTCGTTGTACAATGCCTGAACACCGTCACTTCCGTTCTTAAAGGCCTTCTGGACCGACTTTAACTTTGCATCAAGCGTCGAACTATGATATTGCTATCGTGCTTTCACACCCTGCCTGCGCGTATTCTGTACAGCGATCTGTAAGATGTCTCAAAATTTATTATAAAGCTCGTGAGGAGCACGAACCCGACTACAAAAACATTTGTCATGACAAAGCCCACTGCGTAAATTTGCTGTCAGGTTTATTGTTGCGTTTGCACATCGTCGCCAAAGATGACGCGTAGGTTAGCCATCGCTTCAGTGTCGTCTTTGTCTTTGCCCTTCAAAGCCCCTTTTACGATTGCGGTTTTGCGTCGTTGGATTTGAAGGATGCGGTCCTCAATGGTAGCATCGATCTGCAACGCACAGTGAGAGAAGAACACCGGGCTGGGGTATGAGCTGACGATGAAATGAGTGACAAAAACAGCGCTCGTTTGGCCTATTCGATGGACTCGGTCGATAGCTTGGTTCTCTGTGCGAAACAGTCATGATCAGTCTGACCGAGGGGAAGGCTTTTCCTCACCAACACTCGCATTCCACCAGCAGTCCATCTAGGTTTCTTTGTGAGACGCATTGCCTCCATCAATGACCGAGTGGGTGGCGTACCATAAAAACATGCTGAGCGTTTGTCAGCTGGAACAAACGTCAGCGATGCTACAACACGGGAGTGACAGCAGTTACATTCAATCCAACACCACCAGCTTTGAGGCTGATGATCAAAACCTTTGGTTTGCTGCTCGCTTGTTTGAAGCCTTCGATGACTTCGCTGCGTTTCTTCAGGTTGAGGCTACCATCAAAGCGGTAAGACGAGAATCCGTCGCGTTCTAGCGCAACTTCAATGAGATCTAAGAAACTATCAACGCGTTAGCCCTGGGAATGTTCGGGAGAGCAGCGTCTTACTAACCTAGTAAACTGCGAGAAAACCACGGCACGGAACACAGGTTCTCGAGTACGAAGGTTGCCTTCATGTCATAACGTGTATAAGATCGAAACAAATCGGAGAATTAGTTTACTCACGCAGCGCGGCTGTGAGTGCTTCGAGCTTTGTTGAAGAAATGAAGTCGTTTTTCCGAAGGACAATATGCGATTCTTGGTCTTCCACGGCTTCCAAAAGGTCCTCCTCCTGAGGGCTAAATTCAAAACCGAAGAAATAAGATCAAATGGCAGACTCACCTTGACTGGGCCGCGTCGGCAGACGGGACAAACTGGTTCCTCTGCGCGTTCTTCGCTCGCACGAAGCCAGCCTAGAGCACAGTCTTTGCAGGTGCAATGTTTGCACTTGGGGAGCAGCACCGGG